CTGAAGCGGGCACCGGCTCCCGTCAGCACAGCAGCCAAATTGGCGGCAATGCGATTGTCGAACCGATTGAAATAAGAGTTTGAATTGGAGTTGGAATTTGAATTTGAATTTGAGTTGGAATTGGAATTGGAATTGTCGGCCGTCGGGGAGGAGTTGTTGCTGCTGCTGGTGCTGCCATTCCGGTTGTTGCTGCCTGTTGTCATCGTGGTTGTTGCTGCTGTTCCTCCTGCTGTTGCCACCGCTCCCCCTATGGTGGAGGTCCTGCCACTGCCACTGCTGCTGCTGGTCCGGTCATAATCCAAATTATTGTTGGTTATCATTGCGGCGGCTTCGCTTTTGGGCATTAACTTTTGGCAGTGTTTTCCACTTTGAATTATGTGCGCGTATAAAAACGCTGCGGGCGGCTTTTGTCGCACTGCGTGTCGCCCCCAAAAATAAAGGACACAGGATTCAGGATTCAGGACATCGGCACCACTGGCACCACTCACCACCAGAGAAGCTTTTCAACGACGACAGCTCCGGCTCCGGCTGCAGCTCCGGCTTCGGCCTTTATTAAATTTGACTAGAGTGGGGTCGGTGGGTGGTGGGTGGGAGATGGTAGTGGAGTGGGGTTGTGGGTTGTGGGTGGCTGAGAGTCTGTGAGTCTGTGCTCCAGCCGCAGGGGTTCTTTGGCGGCTTCAATCCCGTAAACTGCAGGCGACGCAGCACGAAGGACAACGACGATTCGCAGATTTAAACACAGAATTAATTCAAGCGGAAATTGGCAACGAAGTGGGCGGTGGGAGAGGCGAGGAGGGAGGGAAAGCAAAACAAAAATGGAAAGCGTGAAGCATAAACAAAAAAGGAATGAAAATGGGCAGATAGCAGAGGGTGGTCGGGGGGCAGGCATGCAGTGGATGGGGGCATGCACGAGGCAGCGATTGAAAGCGAAAACGCAAATGAAAACGCATAAAAGACGAGACCAATTTTTTGGGGGAGAAGCCGCAAAAATGCACATAAATAGGAATAGAAAGAGAGAGAGAGACAGTGAGAGCGGAGGATGGGTAAACAGGGGGATGGTATTGATGGGGGGCAGTGTGGGTGGCAGTTGGCAGAGGGATGAGCAGCACAGGGGTTACCAGCCATGACGTCATACCAGCATAAAGCGCATAAATAGCAGGATTTTCGCAGGGATTTTCATGATGATGAAAATGATGATGTTGTTGTTGTTGTTGTGATTGGGAATACAAAATAACCAGATTATTGTTTTATTCGTTTTGGTTTTTGCATATTCCATTTTATTCGAATTTTGATTTCGAACCCCAACAATTTTCCCCAATTTTCCGCAGTTGAAAGCAGGTTGTTTTTTGTTGTTGCATTTTTCGCCAATTAGTTGCCAATTTTCGTTTTCGCATAAGATTGAAGTCGGGGGATTGTTGGAGTAGTTTTTTGTAGATTTTTTTTTGCCAATTTCGTTTTGTTTTGGGTCAAATTTCATGTAAATAAAGAGTGGAAAAATATTGTTGATTTTTTAGAGCATGTTTTTCGGTTGCTTTTTGCAATTTTAAAATTTAATTTCCAGCGAAAATTTGCATTGAAACTTTCAGGCGGAAAGCGAGAGCTATTTTGCTTTTAAAATACGTACACATATGTGTATATTTTTTTCCACACTTGTTTTGATAGACCGAAAGGGAAAATTTCAAAGCAAATTCGTGGATAGCTTTTGTTGCTTTTCTTTTTTTGGGCTGTTGGTGCACTCACATTGGTCCGGGGGGAGCAACCAGACTTTTCATTGAGCCTTCCTTCAGTGGGCCACGTTTACAGACGAACGACGATTAGAGGGGCTTCTGCAAGAGAGAAGAGTTCGATTTAATTAAAATCAATCCGAAAGCAATGCTCAAGTGTGTGGGTGTGTGTGTGTGTGTGTGTGTTGCGTAGGGGATGTAAGAATGTGCATGTGGATGTGGGGGCTGCTGTTCTATAGCAATCATTAGACGTTCATAGTCAACACCTCATTAGGCGACTAATCAAGCGTACGCTGGGCACGAAACAACAACCAGTTCAGTCCACTGGCAACAGATTAAAGAGAGAACCAGCCCAGCTCCAGGCTGGAGAAGGAGAACGAGAAGGAGGAGAAGGCGAAGGCGAAGGAGCCAAAGGAGCTCCGTGCTGAAGCCGGAACAAGGCGCCAAGCCACAGACACTAAACAAAACCCAAGCAAATCATCAAGATTGCACCCATGAAGGAGGAGACAAAACTAGAGATGGCATCGTGTCCACGCAGAGTGACCGATCCCAGTACGAAGCCAGATTAGAGGCCATCCCCAGCGGTGGCTGGTGGACGCAATGAAGTAAACAAGAAGACGATGCCATGCCGCAAATAAAACGCACAGATTAAAGGATGCCCGGGTGAAATGTCTTCTTAATTACTTCGCAGAGTCTAAGGAGTCGAGTCGAGCAGCAGCAGCAGCAGCAGCGGCAACATGAGGAGGAGGAGGCGGAGGAGGAGGAAGAGGCGCTATAGAGCTAAGGCTGGGAAGGATAAACAAGGCTGGGTGGGATGACTGAAGCGTAATTGAGAAGTCGCCGGGCTGGGACCTAGTACTGGTACTGGTACTGGTTCTGGTCCTGTTCCTGTGTCTGGCTCTGGCTGTGGCTCTGGTTCCTGTGTGTCTGCAGCGCAGTTTAAGCGGAAGTAATTTAATTAATTACAAATGAAACGGAAACACGACAACGACGACAAGAGAGGGGTCCAGAATGCATCGTGTGTCGATTGTTTGCTCAATTGGATGGAGCTGAAATGGCGGAAACCCCATGAAGAACCCGCTTTTGGATGGAAGAACAAGAATCCCCTCAAAATGGATAAACCATATGGCTGGAGAATACCCCTTTTGAATGCAGAACCCCTTTCTAGACGGGGGAAAGCCCTCTAAATTCCCCCAGCAACAGGAAAACAACAAATCCAATTCTGTTTTTTGCTTTTTTTCTGTTGCATACGGGGATGTATGGGGATATATGGGGATGCGGCCTAAGCGTTTTTCAAAACGAGAACAACGAAAAAATTAAGCGAAACTCTGGCTCCCAGCAGTGCAATTAAATTTGTTCCCTGCCTCCCACCACAGCAGACCGCAAACTATTTGAGGGCACTGTGCGATACACACACACCCACACCCACAAAGTCACGCACACAGCAGACAGGGCTGTACGCATTAAGCACAGCTCATTTGCATTGCGGTTTTAATTGCCAGAAAGAGAGGGACGGAGAGCGAGAGAGGGAAGGGGAAAGGGGAAAGGGAGAGTGTGCTATTACCTCGGGTTCCCTGTCCTTCGGCACGGTTCGCTGGCGGGGCTTACAAGGATAATGAAAACAATTTAACGACTCTCTCGACAATTCGCAGGACCAAGGGGGAGTGGAAGGTGGAGCAGAGTCCTGGTCCTGCAAGACCAATCGAGGCCCAAACGCAGAGCCAGACAGACAGAAACGAATCCTGGTTAAACAAATCTAGAATCCCTTTTGCCGCCTCCTGCATTTGCTTTTGCTTTTTGCCATTATTTTGCACCCCTTTTTTTGCTTCCCCTCCCATCAAAAAATGCTGCGTGCCTGCGCAAAATATTTTCATTAAAATGTCAAAAAAATATCTGAAAATATTCTGCGTAACATTTCTTAAAAAACAGAGAAAAAAGGAATATGAAAATGGCAGAAAGCAGAAAGCAAAAAGCAAAAAGGACAAGCCCCTTCGCTGATGAATACTTGATCCTTTTCGCTGGCTTAATATTATTTTAACGAAGCGGATTCCCCGCTGAGAAGGGATAGCGAAAAATGGCTGAGCGGAGTGGGTCACTTTTAAGCCGTGCTGATGGCCAGTAATTAAATGCTTGACATGCCTTTGGGGTGTGAGGTTGGGCCGGCCAAAGGATTAGCGCGGCTAAGAGAATGTCAGAGCGGGCCAATGCCAAACTGCGAGAAATTATGCAGCAAATATAACGCGTAGAGCGCACAGCCAGAGAACTGCCAGAACATTCTCCCAGTGCAACAATCATGGCAGGAGGAGAGAATTAACGCTGATGCTGGCATTATAATTATGGCATGCAGTTAAGGCGATTGTTTGCCAGCCAGCCAGGAGCTGAAGCTGGAGCTGAGGCTGGAGCTGAGGCTGGAGCTGAGGCTGGAGCTGAGGCTGGAGCTGAGGGAGCTGAGGCTGGAGCTGAGGCTGGAGCTGAGGCTGGAGCTGAGGCTGGAGCTGAGGCTGGAGCTGTCAGGTATACCCCTGCTCCGGGGGAACAGACGCTCAAGATTTCGCAGTCAGTTTCCACTTTATTCTGGCCATAATTACCGGTTTTATTGAGGTGCGTGTAAGCTGCTGCTGCAACAGGATGTTTTCCTGCTGCTGACTCATTAAATATTTGCGAATTCTCAATTTGCTTAAGTGAGCAGCAAATAACAACAATTCCAGAATAAAATCAAGAAGCCTTAACGAAAATATTTGCACAGAAGAAAAAGCAAACAAGAGCCAGGGCCATGAGACAGCAGGAGATGTTCTTCAAATTAAAAGAAATCAAAATCATATGAGAATTTTCAAGTGATTGCCCCATGTGGCAAGGCAGGATGGGAGGCTGGCAGGAAACGCGGGCAAACATAAACAAGCAATTTAAGAGGTACTCCCGCACACACACAAACACAGGCTGCTTCGAGGGGGGCATCCTTGAGGAGGCAGGAGGCAGGAGCCTGGAGCAGCATCGGAGTCGGAGACTCCATCGCCAGTTGGCAAACAAACGAAGCGTTCAGGCGAAAAAGCCGGGGAAAAAAAAACTCGGGCAGCCTCGAAACAAGCAAAGCGTTTTATGTGCCGACAACATGGCCAACATGCATGAGTGTGTGTGTGTGTGTGTGTGTGAGTGTGTTTGTGGCACCGCAGATTTCTCACACACACATAGTCTTAAAGTATGCCGCAAGTTTTTCACGCTCTTTGTTAATGAAATTTTAATCAAGCCTCCGCTGCCGCCGCCGCTGCCGCTGCCGCTGCCGCTTTTGCTGTTGCTGCAAGCAAGAAAGAGTTTTCCTGCCGACTAAGTTTTCCCCAAGCACACATACTCTGTACACCCCTTCACCCCTTCTTCATCTGCGGCTCCTTTAAGCAGGGATTCTTTTTCTCTCTCATCTCTTTCGTTTTTTTTCCAAATAGCCAGCAGCTTCATTAGCACTCATCCTCTGCTCCGGCTGCTGCCACGCGCTGCGTATACGTAATAATTTATTTAAAATGCAATTCGTTTATGCCAGACATTAATCATTCGACAGTAAACGATAAGACGTCGAGAGTCACGTTCTGAGGCCTGCTGCATTTATTAACAATTTACGTCATAAATAAAATTGAAAAACATTCATAATGTCAAACAGAGACGAGACGAGCGACGAGAGACGCGAGTAGAGGGGAGGAGAACGTGAGAGCACGGACTGATGGCAATTTCATAAATTACAGGGACAGCGAGAGAGAGAGAGAGAGCGAGAGAGAGAGCTGTACTGTGGAGTGTGAAAGAGCGTTCGGATCACATAAATTAGACAACAAATTTCCATGCAAAATGGGAACAGCACGCAGGCACAGGTAAATCACAAAAGTGGCCCCAAAATGACAACATTACTCGTAAGAGCGGGGTCCAAAAGTGTGGGGGAGTTGGGCGGTGGACAAAACACTTTTACTTGCTATGTTTTGTGTGTTGTTTGCCGCTGTTGCGGTATCAGGCAGTTGTTTAACATATTTGTGTTTTGCTGTGGCTGTTACGCCTTTTCCTGGCCAACACAGCCCCAGCCAAACAGCCACAGGCGGAGCAAGGCCCCCAGTTCGGGTGAAAAATGTTCGCTTAGCACGGCAAATAATTATTTCTCGCTTACTGCCAACTGGCATGCCATTTTGGCCAGGCTTTGAGCATGGCTGACGGTCGGTTCTGTATTCGGCTGTATTTTGCACCCTCTTCCACCCTCTCCCACCGTCTCCCACCCTCTTCGCGGCTTTGAGTTCATTATGTGAATTTTGAAATTGTTTTTTCTTGTTTTTTTGTTTTGTTTTCTGCTGCGGGGCACAGAGCTAAAAAAAAAAAAAAGAAAAAGGAACCAAATGCCAACACGTTGCCGCCTCTCATGGAAGGCAACAGCAACCATCATCCCCTCGTCGGAAAAGGTGTTGAGTTGAGCCAAATTACAAAAAATTGCTGCTTTTGTTGCTGTGCATATTTTTCTTTAATGATTTGAATATGCAAAGCGGTGCCAGGGCAAAATAAAAAGAATTTTAATTAGTTTTCGCAATGCTTTTCGGCTGCAATTAAAGTCCTGAATTGTTGCCAGCAATAAACAGAACAATGATTATGTTTCTGTTATGCGAAATTCGAAATTTTCATACTCCAAAAACGAAGGAGAGCACATGTCTATCAGAGAAGCTCGAAAGGGAAATATTTCTGGTATTTTTTGCAGAACGAAGTCGCAAAACTAAAAATTTAAACATTTAAGCATTTGAATGTTTGAATGCTTAATTTATGCTGGAAAAGGCAAAAATTGAACTAAAGAAAAGCAAATATGCAAAGCAAAGCAAAGCAACGCGAATTGATTTGGAAATTCTTATGCAATTGGCCGACATAGAAACGGAAAAATTGAGAGACCAAAGACACAGAGAAGAGGAAAAAGTGTAAATTTGTATATTTTCTCGACTGTTGGATACCCACCCACAGTGGGGATGGTGCGAAAAAACTTTTAGAAGAGCATTACAATCGAGTAATTGAAAGGGCCTATACAAATATACTATTTAATAACTTCTTTTTTATATCTTGGCTGCAAGATCATGTTGACTATCGGTAGATACAGTCTCTAAATATGCAGCAGTTCCAAGGCAAAGTTTCAAATGTTCTAAACTCTCGATTCCACACACTTTTTCTCGGTTTTCAGAGGAGAAATCACATCTAGTAGAGGTAAACAAACGAATGTCTGAGGGGCCTTTAAAGTCTCCGAAACGCTTCCGAAACCAGCATTCACTCACATTCACAGAGTACGCGGTATGTAAACCTGAACCAGATCCTGCCAAGATGCCAATAAAGAAAAGGAAATTCCCATTGATTTCTGTACCTTGGCTGGAATTTAAAAGCAGCAGCAGCTGGAGGAAGACGAAAAAAAAAACTATTTCCCATGCAGCAGAGCGGCAACAACAACGAAATAATTCGACTACCTTTCGTTGAATGTCTGGGCAGTGTCCCATGACGTGAACCCAGAAGCAATAAATGTTCAAATCAATTGAAACGTTTTGCCAAAGCCTCACACCCTATTCTGAACGAATCGAAGGCAGTGGAGCCACAGCCACCCCCCAAAAAGATAAATGGAGGAGGGAGTGGAGTAAGAGTGGAGGAATGGATTCTTGGACAGCTTAGGGCGGCGATTTGGTTAGCCCCAAACAACAGAAAATCGATAGGGGATGCCGAACGAACACCAATAAGGGAAGAATGTCAACTTGTTTGGCACTAGTCCCGTGATGAGCCCAAGGAACAGACGGGAGACAGAGTCCTGTCCCATATTCGAGGCTGGCAAACTTGGGACTATATGTATGCGATATATGGACCAGAAATCGACAGAAGTCGACGGCAATAAAACGCCATTTGGTCATAAAAATAGTCGAACGTTGCAGGGGCAAAGTGAATGCGACAACTGCCCCAAGGGGCAGTCGTAGTCGTAGTGGGAGAGGGCGCGGGCGCGGTCGCAGGAGGCGATTGGGTGTCCTGTCTGCCAGAGCAAATTACGAATTTTGCATATTGCCAGTGGCCAGAGGCCCGAGCCGGTCCTTTCTTCTCCTTTCTGCCTGCTCTCTGGTTTCTTTGCCCCTTTGGCCCATTTGTCATTTCGGGGCCGGGGCTTTGGCTATGCCTCTGCCTCCGTCTCCGCCTCCACCTCCGCCTCGGTCGCTCGGTTGCTGGCTATGGCTTTGGTGTGTCGCCACTTTGCAGGATGAATGACCCCGGACCCGGCATAGTAGTTGCTGCCGGCACTGGCAGCACGGCCCCACGGCCCCACGGCCCCTTTCCCCTCTGGCAGCGGAAATTGCGCACACGTCACAGGGCAGCAATTTTCATATAAGCGTTCTCCATTTCTTTTTCGATTCATTTTCCATAGAAGAGGGTTGTGTGTAGACCACAAGAAAATCGGGAATGGAATGCACATTATATTTATTTAGGGATGGAATATAAGGTTTACTCAGGTTTTACACCAGAGACAGACTCAATCCAGTCCAGGTAGGAGATAACATCCGTATATACGACGGGGTAGCCCAAATCACATCCTTTTATTGTTCCAAATGAGACGATTCCGACCAATTTCTGCTCGTCTTCTAGCACCAGCGGTCCACCAGAGTCTCCGCTGCAGGTGGACCTTTTCTTGTCCGTGCGAACACACAATGCGCCTTTCAGCTTTCCGTATGTGCTTACGCACTCAGATATATCGCCGATCTCTAGTGCGACCCAATTCAAACGATCCACTGAATCTCCCCCTATAATTTCTGCACCCCATCCGGCGGAAATGACTGACTGACCCGGTCTAATCGACCTTCTACCGTCTCTGGGTGATGGCAGGGGAATTCTTTGAATTCGATCAGTGAACTTAACCGCGGGTGTGCGAATCAGGGCCACATCGTGACGGTAATTATTATTAAATATTATTCTGTATCTCGGATGTCGATGAATGTTAGACCTCTGCACTGTTTCAACTTTTGCATTTTCCTTCTGGGTAGAGCCATAGAATATCTTTACCTCCTTTGGCCGTCCTGTAGTGCAATGAGCAGCCGTAAGTATCCATTCATTGGATATAATGCTGCCACCACACAAAAGGTAACGATCTTCAGGAGATGCAAAGTCCCTGGGTCCGAATATAAGTCCAACAAGGTATGGAAATTGTCCTTCTTTGGCCAGCTCTCCATTGGCGATACGCTGCAGCTGGTTGGATTCTCCAGCAATAAATAGTTGTGCCACCAGAAGACACAGAAAGATTACCATTTTGACGGTTCAAAGCTGACTTAAGCCTAAGTTCAGGTGCGACTGCCTTATATACGGTTCTTTCTTATCAGCATTTGTCCGTTTTTCTATTAAAATACCACATTCCATACCACATTTGGAATGGGTGCAATGACAAGACACGTGTACTGATGAGTGATTTTTCGACTTTCAATAAGTGGTTATTTTTGTGCAGAACTTCTTCGATTTTAAGTCAAGGCAACACAAATTCGCATATCGGGGTTGCAACATTTTGAGTACCTTTAACAAAAATATTTGTTTTAAATGCCTCGATGCACAGGTTGTTCAATTCGTGTGCATTTTGTGTCGTTTATTTTACGTTTAATTGATTTTCGCAGCCGAATGCATCAAAAATGCATGCGTACGCAATTAATGACATTACCGGAGTGCAGTCCCCGTCCGTCCGTCGTCCGTTTTCCGTCGTCCCCTCCGCACCCAGTCCCGTCCTGGATGGGAAAGAGACAGAGACAAGCGCTCTTTTTAATAAATTATCACTATTATCATTATTAAGCAAATGGAATGCCGAACAGAGAGCTGCCATAATGCCAGAGCATTAATTTAATACGAGTAGAATTAAATTTCTGAATGATTTTAAGCCGGTGGATAAACCGAATTTACGAATTGAAAATAAAATTCTATTCGAAAGGAGGACGAACAGCCTTAAATGAAAATACATATCTACGGGAAATGAGAGGAAAGGTTTCGCTGACAAACGCCATAAATAATTAGTGGAAATGTGGTACACATGTATATTCGTGGCGTGGCATGGCCTTGCCTTCGACAACTGCCGCTCCACCTGCTGCCACGCACCCGCACCTGCACCCCCAACCAGACACTGCGCTCCCATGTAGGTCATAGACTGCGCAAAAAAGCGTTGCATACCTTCGGGCTGTCAATTTATTTTTCGCGCTTCGCATGTTCTTTGGCCATGTTTTTCGAATTTCCCACTCCACTCCGCTGCCCTCCATTCGGTCTCTGAGGCAGTCTTATGTCCTTGAAATTTATGCGTTCGACGCAGGCAAACCGCCAAGTGCTGAGCACATCGGATGGCAGATAGGCCCAAGTGCCACATGGCATGTAATGCGCTCATTATGTTGCCTCTCCGTGGCACACGAACACACACAATCGCATAGAGCAGTAGATGAATGCCACATGCAGAGGAAGCCTACTCCTGGCGCGCCCTTGGAACTGGGCCAATGCGAACGGCATTGTCTTTTGGGGTCCCGGTCTCCTCCACCAGGAGATAATAACAACAAATTATTACACTTGCCAAGGGACCCTTTTCGGAGGGTGGGTATGAGAGGGATTCCATGGGCTTTCTGTTGTAACTAAATTAAGCATATCGTTGATAACTCAACGCAGATCGGACGGAACACGATAAGCCACAGCAAGTCTTGTTGTGTCTTTGTTGGGTTTCAGTCCCAAAGTTGTAATGGGTCCCATCACATTCTTCCTCTCCTCCTCCTCCTCCTGCTCTTGTCCCTGGCCATGGCCTTGAGGAGCCTTTTATCGATTTTGTCATAACCATTTCGTTTAGCAATTTCCATGCTATCTGCATTTCGCTTGCCAATCAGGCGGTCAAGGCCGACAACGAGTGCTCGTATCATTAAAATATACCCATTCCGTATACGCAGTGGTGCCAGCGATACCCTTTTTATATTTATTTCATAATTTTTCGTGTCAGTTCCTCTGAGCCATATCTCGTTCACTTCCTCGCAAAACCCAATTGCACTTCCGCATAAAAAAAAAACAAGCCAGCGAAAAACAACGAACAAGTTTCGTGGAAAGCCAGATTATTGCAATCATAAATTTTTATGATTTTTCCATTGGTTGCAGCTCTTGGCGAGGTGGCAGTGGCAGTGGCAGTGGCAGTGGCAGTGGCAGTGGCAGTGGCAGTGGCAGGGGCAGTGGCAGCCTCGAGGGTATAGTGCGGCACGAATGCGTGAGAAAAATACTACTCACATGCCGCTGAAAATTTTATGTGAATTTAATAGCCCTGCAGATATGATGCAGAAAATTATTATAGTCTGCTCCGGCTCCGGCTCCGGCGGTCCTTCGCTCTTTGCTGAAAAGAAGCGATAAAAAAGGAGCCAATAGCAGCTGTATCAATACACCTATATATATTTTATATACATATGTATACATTTCGATGTATTGATACATTTTCCCACATCCGGCGGCAAAGTTGTTTTTTTTTTTTCTGCGTGGGCCATTAAAAGGAAATTTAATATAAACTTAGGAAGGAAGATGGGATGACAGGGGCCGTAAAAAGCATATTGACAATGCTGAAAGATCCATCCATCAATCAATCAGGCCTGACAGTGCCCCAGCGGGAGGGCGGTGGCAGGTAAAAAAAAAACCAAAAAAATATATAAAAATTCAGAAGTAATCTAATCCAATTACTCAACACTGGCAAACAAGCAGCCGAGCAGCAGAACAGCAGAGCAGCGGAAGGATTCCATGCAGGGCGCTAATGGACGAACGCCCCCACATGGAGGATATCACATGTCTACGAAAAAGTTAAATAACCGAAGGGCAATCCCAAAGTATCAATAGCCAGGAAGCGGAGACCAGCAGGGCAGGCGGTGTAGATGGGCTCTAAGCCACAGGCACATTTACATCATCCCCAAACGAATGCGTTTGATTATTAACCAACAAAAGGAAAGGGGGAGGGCAAGGGTGCTGACGAAGTGCAAATCCTGACCAAAAAACACAAATTGAAATCCAGACGCATTCAATGCGAGTCCTCCCAGGGCTCGGGACCGGGTTCCTAGCTTTTGTTGTTGCCACGGGGCTTACAAGGCCCAGGACCCGGAACAGAACCCGCACTCGCATTCTATTGACGAAATTATAATTTTTGTTGCTTCAATAAAATGACAGGCCAAAATACTAATATGGTTTCATTTCTGCCTCTTCCCCAAAAGCCCTAAGCAGGCTTAGGCATCAAATTGAAAATATAAGAAGCGGCGGGTGGAAAGCTCTTTGTTCGAGGGGAGACACTGGCACAATAGGGGAGGAAAGACCCTTGGCTGAGGGCTGATTGGATGGCAGAACTTTCGTGATGATGATGATGCGGTGACATTGATAGGATATCGAAGGAGGGAAAACTATTCTCTATTCACCGCAACATACTTAATCATTCAAATTAATTCAGGGTATACTTACTCGTATTTCGTAAGCCACCCCCTCAGTGATTTATTCGCCCCGCCATGAGATTCATTTAGCTTTGCCACCGGAACACAGCCTTTCACCTTTCACTTTCGGCAATCAAATAGCAATTATGCCTGCCCATAGTTCAAATATTTGCCACTGACACTGACACTGATGCTGATGTTGATGCTGGGATCCCTTACCCCCTTTCCCCGTTTCCTCGGGACACCCGTTTATGCAAATTTGTACGGGTTAACGATTTCATTAAATGCCATACCCGGGCACGCCTTATCTCTGCTGGACGGACAGGCGGCACTGGCAGCTCCTGTGGCATCTCGACTAATTTCAATATCAGCAAACGCCTCGCCTCTTCCAAGAGCTTGCATTAATTTTCACATTTAGCCATAAGCCGCAAGAGGCGTGGCATTGTTGATAAACCGCCACATCAGAGGGGCATCCGTTTAGCCTTTGCCTCCCTCCCGTCTCTTGTGTCTCTTCCAGTCACTGTTTCTGTCTTCTTTCCCTGCCTCATGTATCGCTATCGCCCCCTGTCTCTTGTGAATCTCTCTCCCATAAGTCTCAACCGAAGAGGCGACAAGCTTCCCCAACAAACACACACCGAATCCTCCCCATCAGGGCCTCCCAGGATGTCCGGGATATGCTCGTCGCACAGGCACAGGAGCCCGGAAGACACATGAACGACAACGACAACGACAACAGCAACAGCAACAGCAACGGCCAAGGGGTCAATTTGGAGAGCTTCAAAAGGGACAAGAATTTTATAAACTACAGTTGTGGAGGATGGTCTGTCTGTAGTCTGGGGCCAGCATATTTATAAACACATTAAAAACGCTTCACTGGCATCCTGGCCCCCATCCCATATCCCACATTCTCGCAAAGCCAAAAGGATATGAGAACTTGATGAGTTATCAGTAGGGAGGACTCCAACTCCGACTCCGACCTCTCTCTTTTCTCTGAGGTTAGGAGTGTGTACTCCTCTCTGTCTGAGGGATATGTGGGTAGAGTTTTCCCCTTCGGAAAATTAACACGAAACAAGTCAAAGTCAATGTTGGACGATGGAAAGGGGATCGTGCTCGTTCTCGTGGGGGAAATCCCACAACATGTTTGAAAAATGTCAGTTGCACATGAGGCAGCTGGGAACCTCAAACCTCAAGAATCTCGGCAGTCATGCCGCACCAGAAGGCGGGCACATGTGTGTGTGTGTGTGCGATGAGGAATTGCTGCAAGTTGCAGCTGACGGTTGCTAAGCTTGTCAACATGCAGCGACACTAAGGCTCCCCAGAGGGAGACACCTCGAGAGAGAAATGCAGGAGGCAGGCGGCAGGAGACAGGACATGCAGGAGAAGGCTCCAGCGTAACAATTGAATATACCGCCACATCCACGCACTGCATCTCGCACATGAATATTTTCCAGGTCAAGCCACATTTGACCCGGTTCTTATCTAAAAGTCAACAGTTTAAATGCCATTTAACATTTTATGGCTCAACGACAGACAGAGTCAAAGGAGACGGAGAGTGCGAGTGAGAGTGAGAGAGAGGGAGCGTAGTCTTAGGGATGGGGGACCATAACGATTTGTAACCTTCATGTTAATACTCTCGTCGAGTTATTTATGTAAATTACTTGCAACTGCAATGCCAACTACTTGGAGGATGCTGCTGCTTCTGGCCAAGCTCTTGCTGGGACTCTGGCTGTGGCTGTGGCTGTGGCTCTGGCTCTGGCTCGTGCTGCTGCCAGCGTTCATGTTTTATAATTAAGTCAGTAATTTAAGAGGGAAGGAAACTTTACTTGACTGCATTCCTTGTGGCTTACAATTTG